TAGCATTTAGTAGGTGCACAATTAATGTTTGTTAGACATTCAATATGGCACTGTGGGTTAATGCGCTAGACAGCAAAATCATTTTGAACCACAAACTCAGTGGTTCAAGCTCACCAGCTGCTCCTTGGAAACGCTATGCAAAGCCGCTATGAATCAGAACTGACTCAATTGCATTTAACAACAATAACAGCAGTCATTCAATAAATGAATGATTAAGATTGGGTAGTCCATCCTTGTGTGGTGCTGTAAGATAAGCAATGGACTTCAAGGTTGGTTTGAAACACATGGTCAGCGGTTCAAACTCACCAGTCACTCTTCTCGGACACTCTATACAGGGTCTCTATGAGTTGTAACCGATTAACGGCACTTAACAACAACTTTTGTTAAGTACCATAGAGTCAGCTCTGACTAATAACAACCTTGTATAGGGTTCCCAAGGAGCAGCTGGTGGGTTTGAACTACCGACCTTGTGGTTCACAGTCCAGTACTGACCCTACAGTGCCGTACCAGGACTCCAAAGATGGTTTTATAAACCCTTTTTAATTATACCCACTGTAAGGAAAAGAAAGAAAGAGACAAGGGCAGAGAGTCGTGGCTTCAACAGCAGGCAGGTTTATTGAGAGTAAACCTGGGAGGGGGTACTCTTATGGCACCAAAGGAGACCAAGAGCCTGTCTGTTCCCTTACAGACTGGGGTACTTATAGGCCATGTGGTCTGGGTATAGTCCTGGTGAGTTTACAATGGGCAGGGTACAGGGGTATGGAGATTTTCCTGAAACCTGGAATTTCATGGGGGAGGGTCTCCAGGTGTAACAAAGACCCAAGCTTCCTGGGAGATCGGAAGCTCAAGCTGGACTCCATTCAGTGTCAATTGGGGTAGTTGCAATGCCATTCTGTTGATCAGGTGCAAAATCCTTTACCCACTCTTCACTTATGTACATGGTTAGATAAAAAAAATAAGTCATTATACCAAATTGGGGATATAAAAGAGTGGGGGTGGGGAATATTTGGTCATCTTTGGAGCAGGTGTGCTTGTCTACCCCACAGCCCTATTGGGCCTACTTGGTGCATCTTTGAATGTAAGTGGTCCAATGAACTCCCCTTCCCCATCATGCCTTTCCCATCATCTTGAAGCCCTCTTGGGATGAAGGGGATGAGGCTGGAGGTGAAGGGTGATCAGGTGTTTAGCACAACCCATTGCCTTCTGTCGCCTTCCTCATGTGGAGATCATGATGGTCCTCTGTCCACCCTAGTCCCACAGTCCTATGTGGGGGCAGGGTAGGACATTTTCCTTTTCTCCCCTCCCCTTCTTCCCTCACTGATCTTCCAGGCACTTTCAGGCTTTTATCTGGCCTTCTCCTGCCTACAGGAACCTTGCTTCACCCCACCATTGCCTAGCATCTTAGTTAGTTTGTAGCTTCGTTAAAGTCACCCATTGTTATTGTAGATTCATCTATTTCTCTCTTCAAATCTATTAGAGTTTGCTTTATAAATTTTGGAGCTCTTTCATTGGGAGCATAGATATTTATTATGGTTATTTCGTCTTGTTCAATTATCCCTTTAATCATGACATAATGTCCATCTTTATCTATTATGCTGTTTTTTGCTTTAAAGTTTATTTTATCAGAGATTAGTACTGCCACTCCTGT